TCCAGGCCCCCAAATACAACCACTTAACACTGAAAAATATAATATAAAATTGTAAAAATTGTAAAAAAGTGCATAAATATGCATCTAAACCCCTGAAATAAAGAATATCATTAATACTTGTAATAAAAAAAACAATAAATTAGTAAAAAAAAAAAAAAAAAAATTTTTAAATAATATTCGTTGTAGGAGTTTCGTTCATTATAGCATTCTCAATTTTATAGGTAAAACCGTTCATTATAGGAATATTCGTAGTAGGATCCGTTCGTTAAAGCATACCCCACTAGGGTGTGTCATAGGAGGGAAGATCAGCTAAAACTAATGGCCCATCACTTTTTTGGTAGATTTTAGTGTACTGTATATAAACAGAAAATAATTTCAGTTTCAATATTTTGCAACCTTTTGCTAGGTAAATTTTAGCGTGAAATTTATCGAAAATCTAACGTACAGCTGCATTAGTGCATTACAATTAAATAGTGTACATTGCTTTCTGACTTCATTCTTTAACAACCCAACTAACAATATATTTTTCTGTTTCAGATTCTGATGCATTTATAAGTTGATAATATCTGCGATGGCTGCTTGTGTCAGGACGAGGAACCAAAAATCCAGCCATCTCAGTCACTATCTTGGGTCTGGGAGAGAGCTCCTGAAGTCGGAGTTGCCTACATTGAGAGATGCTTTGAGATACGGTGTTTTAATCAGGCAAATCAGTGAAAAGAACCAAAGAACTTACACAAACAAAGACATTGCCAGTGATATGACCAAAGCTGTCTTGGCACAGTACACTCTGGCTAATGCTCAGTTCAAGCCTCCAGTCATAACAAGTCAGAAGAAGATTAGTGAGAGACTGCTAGCCAGTTGGGAAAAGGCAAGAGATATTTCTCTTGGGAGAGGAAAACTTGCAGTTAAGGACAGCTTTGCAAAGCAACTGGACCAGTTATTTGACATAATTACTTGCAAGTGCCCAATTGTTCTCTGTCCTGAGTTTGGATGCGATCGTGACTGTAAATCCGAGGCCCACATCTCCTGTATTTGCAAGCGTGAACTGAAGATTCCTGTGATCGAACTGGCATTTGTCAAAGCACAGAGAGAGAAGACTGGTAGTATAGGGGTTCTCATGATTTCTAGCCAAGATATTCGGAGTCCAAGACAGGAGAGGCATGCCACAGAGAGACAGGAAGAGGAGAAGAGGTGCCGAGGAAAGAGAGACTTGAGAAGGCCCAGGGTGAGGTAAAAAGGCCGATGATTGGAGTCAAGCTGATTCCAGAGTTTAATGATTCTCCCCATGGCTGATCCCGAAAGTGCTGACCAGGAGAATGGTGACTTTGTCCCCAATCCAGAAAAATAATGTGATCCCAAACCTTCCAGGCATAGCAGATTCGAAATAGGAAAGATATCCTTTAGCATAGCTCTGGCCACAGCATACACACCACACTGGTCTCAGAGAAACTGCAGGCAGATAGCAACAGCTGCTCAAGGACGGTGGTTTGATAACACCTGATGATGTCTACCTGGTGATAGATCATAACAAAGTAAGGAGAGCTCAGGAGAAACTTGTCAGTAACCTAGAAGAGTTTGATAAGGGGATAAGAGAAAATGGAATCAATTGTTTGTTCTTTGATGGGAGAAGGGATGACACAAAAGTGTTCATGAAAGTTGGAGATTCTGGCAAGTTGTTCCCTGCCATGGTGAAGGAGGAACACTACTCCTGCTGCAGTGAACCAGGAGGGAAGTATTTGTGGCATTTCACTCCAGAGAAAGATGACATCAGGAAACCAGCTGAGATAGTGACAGATAACATTGTGAACTGGCTCAGAGAGAGGAGCGTAGACCAGACCCTGCAGGCCATTGGAGGGGACAGCACCAACACGAACACAGGGTGGCAAGGGGGGTCATACAGTGGATAGAGCGGAAGATTGGGAGGAAGCTGGTCTGGATTGTTTGTGACCTCCACACCAACGAGTTGCCACTCAGACATCTGATCCAGGAGCTGGATGGCAAGACTCTTTCAAACAACAGATGGTCTGGTCCTCTTGGCAAGATGCTGGACTCTGCCACTGAGTTAGAAATAAATCCGAGCTTTGAAAAATCACAGTTGGCCCTCCACTCGTTGAGCTTGTACATACTGTCATTGACGACCTGAGTACTGACCAGTACTATGGTTACATGATTTGCAGTGCCATCAAAACTGGGGTCATGCCTGATAGACTTGCTTACCTGCAGATAGGTCCAGTCTCACATTCTAGGTGGCTCACAACGGCTCTCAGGTTCTGCAGAATTTGGGTCGCTCATCATAAACTGAAAGGGAACCAGCCTCACAACCTGAGACTTATTGTCCAATTCATCGTGAGTGTCTACTTGCCAAATTGGTTCAACACCAAGGTCAAGTCATCGTTCTCCGAAGGTCCGAGGCATGTTCTCTTCCAGCTTGAGCTCCTGAGGAGTCAGCCAAGGAAGGTTGTTTAGATTGTGGAGCAGACTGTGAGGAGATCTTCCTGGTATGCTCATCCCGAGGCAGTTCTGCAGACAATGCTCTGCAGTAAGGATGAGAGGAGAGAAGAGTGGCAGTCAAAAAGATCTTGGATATGAGACTTATGAGAGGATCTGGGCATGACGAATCAGTTGGTGACGATTCCTTCAGGGTCAGGAAGACTCCTGAAGTCAATCTAGGTGCCAAGACCCTCACTGATCTCATAGATCTGGATAACATCCAGGCTGGCAGTGAGCCCCCTCTTACCTGCAGCCTCACCAATGTTCAAGTCAGAGCTTTCCTGGACAACCCCATGCATGTCCCTGCCTGGCCCTCGCACACCCAGAGTATAGAGCGTTGTGTACAGCAAGTGAGCGAGGCCAGCAGTCACGTGTACAGCCAGGAGAGGAGGGAAGGCTACATCCGAGCTCAGGTGGTCAGCAGGGAGGTGATGAGTAGAAACAGAAGCAAGAAAGACATGTTCTCTATGGTGTGCAGCAACACCGGGTCGTAGTAGTAAAACCGGTTTTTGTATTTGATGATTTTGTTTTCTAAAGGAATATTAAATTTAATAAATGTGTCAAGATCATTCGTTTCACTATTCTGGATCATTTTCATCCTAATAAATTAACCTGATACATTTACTTTACTTTAAATAAGCTATTTAGTGGTGTTGGTAAAAGGGTGGGAATACTGAATTTTCATAAGATTTCAAGTTAAAATTTACCTAGCAAAAAATGAAAACTTTTCAAATCTGAAGATATCACATGATTCTGCACATAGAACTACATCATTAATACCATGGGCCGATTTTTCAAACTCAAAAAAAAAAAAATTCGCCTCCGTATGACACACCCTAATACCCCACTGTATTTAAAATGATCACCATCTTGTAAGGATTCCAGCAATGTAAATTATATATTTTATGAGCCAAAAACATATATATCTTCAGTAAATAAACAAATTATACTTCATCCGCATAAATGACGAAATTTACCGGGTAAATAAAACATTTCATTCTGGCAAGGTGCCACGTAAATGACCAAAAACGTAAAAAAAAATGCATAAAACCAGACTATACTGTACAGTATTTCAACTTAAGTACATTTTTTAATTAAGGACGTCTGTAGAAATGTAGCTAGCACATAACCTGGGGACTGCCTGCACATTTAAAGTAAATTCAATACAATAATCATATTATCTCTGCCTTTATATCAGATTCCCAAATGATATCCATTTTGTAAGAAAATTTTGTTTCAAGCATAACATGAGATGTTCCAATTCACTTATCCTTTGACAATGGTTACAATAACAAAGCATTTAAACCATTTGAGATGCAGGTCACCTTAGCATCCCAAAGGGAGAAATGGGAATAATGAAATGCTAAATATTGATTTACTTATATATTTTTTTTTAATTTCAACCGTCCATTTACAACATAAAGAGATTAAGCAACTCCGTAACCAAAGCCAACTAGAAACAGAGAGTGGTATGTCAAAAGGCTTGAAGTACTGTGCTCACATGCATCTGCAAAAAGACCAACCCTACTGGACAGATCTAAGGTATGATTAACAGACAAAATAAAGGAACTAACCATGAGCTATCCTCTGTCACACAATCCTAAGGTGAAGAACCAACAACTGTACTAAATATGACAATACAGTACTGTACTGACATTTTTAATGTTGGATGACTCACCAAGCTGTCATCCTCAACTTATCCACAGAATGAAAACATTGGCCACCAAACCTTGTTCCACTCACCTCATCCACAACCATCTTGATGAAAACAATGAGAAATTCCTTGCATGCTTATTAAATTTGTTTTCATTCAGATGTTCTCTAAAAAATCTGTTTCCATGCAAGGAAAAACCCACTTTGAATTTACCGGTACTTGAAAAATAGCAAGTCTAAACCCTCTGCAACTCAAAAAAAAAATAAAAAAAATAAAAATCCAATTTTGTTTAGTGAGGTGAAAGAGTTCTAAATTAGTTACTCCTGTAATTACAAGAAGAAATTGGTATTTCTGTAATTTGTGCATTATTATTACACTCTAGTCTCGGTTTACGCGGTCAATTAAACCCGTGAAGGTCCGCGTAAAACGAGAAACGCGTAAACGAAATAACAGAACATATGGGATTAATTGAAATAGAGACTGGGCCAACCCCCAGACTACCCTTTTTCCGACACAATACGTAAGTTGTAGTAAAAATAACATCTTAATTTTACGATGGTATGCACACACAATTAATATTTAAGAGAAATATCAATAATATTAGGTTTTTTAACACTTACGTTAGTAGAAGAGATGGCTGGGCGCACGGGGATGGGGGGGTTGGTTCCGAGGCAGAGGGCAGATTATTGGCCCTCACCTGTATCACTATCCACCACAGAGGCTAGCAAGGCCTCCTTGTCAAACCCCTCAAAGTCCATATCCTCACTATCACTATCACTGACTTGGGCTGGCTGTGGTGGGTGGTGGGTGAAGAACTCGGTAATGTTTTGCTGACTGGGCAAGCAAGGTTAAATAGACCAATCACAGCTAGCGGCGGAGGGAATGCGTGGTGGTAAGGATGCGTGGCCCAATCACAGTCCGATACGTCATCTGACGTCAGAGGTGACGTAAGAGCGACCAAGCGCACAGCTTCCCGCGTAAATGCTGGAATGTACCTCGTAACTAATAATTGCCGTGTCTGGACAGGTGCCGTGTAAATGAACAACCGCGTATAAGAAATCCGCGTAAACCGAGACTATACTGTATTACTTATTATTATCCTATTGTACTTTTGAGTGTTATATATTTGTAATTTGTATTAATATATGAGTTTTCACTACTGTATTTGGTTGCTGTATCAGGACTTAGGGGATTACACTGAGGAAGAAATAAAGGAAATGCGACTTGAGCGACCTTTCTCTTACCATTATCTTTAGCTACTGTGACCAGGTTAACTTCCCCAGGCTACATTTAGCAGAAAAAAAAACAACTGAACAATGAAAAAACATGTCAGAATATATGGTATCAAAAGTATTATTAGAACATCCTAAACATAAACAACCTTTCTGTTGTGGCACTTTCATAGTGCACAGCCAAATGTAAGACGGCTATACACAGGGGTGTGCTGCCAATATCTTAACAACCAGTTCTGATTTAGGTCAAAATTTAGGTAAGGCGTCTGAGGTGAGCGGTGGTTCCCCCAGCAGGGTCTGAGGCAGAGGCACAACACCCAACACATTTTAGCCTTTCCAAAGAGCATTTATTAATATTTTGACAAATTTTTTTTCACCTACCTTTTATATTCACTAATGACTATATTACATTACCTTAGAGTAAACTAATCTTCCATTAAAAAATAATTAGACATTGCAAAAAACTGCTAAAAATGGTAAAATGATATATAGTGACTTGTAGTACAACTAGACTACAATGTCCAAGGCCGGTTTGCCAAACCATTAAGTCACTAGAATTTAAACATTAAAAATATGTAAGTTTTTGTTTTTTTGCACAATTTCAAGTTAAATTTTTATTCACCATTTCGGTAAACCTGACCAAACCAGCCCCAGCACACTCCTGGCTATACAGGTTATATTTATCATAGAAAAGGTATCCCATGGGTCACAGATAATTTTCACAAGGAAGAAATTTACATATCACGTATAAGATTTCTTTTCATACCTTTTCCTCTGCCTTGCCACAGATACGGACATTTGCATCATAAATGAAACAGCGGAGAGTGGTGGTTCCAAGGTCAAGGCTGGCAATGTAGCGTGACTCCTGACCAGGGGATGGATCTGGGGTCTGGTTACTTTGTTCAGATGTACCCATGCCGAACTTGTCATCACTTATTGCCGAGACTGAAATTATAGAAAACTCCATACTAAAATCTAGCTAACAATAGTTTATATACCTCAATACCATTAGGATAAACTTCTCCAAATAAGATATGTTACTTTATCCAATATTAACACTGGAGCTACAGTAGCTGTACAGTATACCTGTGACGACGGCCCTGAAACTGACTACAGCCCAAGCCAATACATACAGTAATGGACTGTATTATTTAAGCTGAAAAGAAATACAAGTAGTATTTAATTATCATGGGTCACAGGATCACTACGTGAAGCAGTGGAAAGATACTGACTCAAGATATTTTAATGTGGGAATGATGATGATATGTTTAGTATCCCAGAGTTTGATCTGATGTCAATGGAAAGAGTAAAATTTTAAATGAATAAGATTAACATTTCTTCTTTAGTTTAAATTGATAAAAAATCAAATCCAGTGAGAAAATCCTCTCGAAATTTATATACTTACAGTGCAGTAGATTTACTTTTCATGCATCACTACCATATGTCTTGGCTGGGCCTCATAGTCTTGCACTGCATCACAGTAATTTCCCTGTCATCCACTGCTTGTATTTAATTTTTTATGTTTATTTTTAGCTTATAATCATTGTGTGCAACCAAACTTTTCATTGAAAATATGTTTTGCAGCATTTTAAGACGTTTCAGGGAAGTACAGTACTTTACAGTAGTACTTTATTTTATTTTTGCAAGAAAGTAACTCGGCTTTTATACATCGTTAATGCAACAAAAAGGGTGCTCTGGAACACTTGAATTTCCAAACATTCCGAATTAACCGAGTTCAGAATATTTTGACATTATTGTACAGCATGCCTTGATGATTTGCGGACCTCGATTATTCACGGATGACACCCTGGATGTACCCAAGAATGTCTGCGGGTAATTTTAAAGTTGCTGGCATTTTTGCAGCCGGGACAGGGAGACAGGGAGCGTGCAAGTTTTTTGACATCCCACAAGATGTCTCTATTGTCCTAAGAGGATTGGCCCACGCACACTTCCTCCACCTCAGTCCGGGATAAGCACTTAACCATCTCATGTGTGTGTTCCTCTGGTCTCTTAACAACTGTGCTCCTTGTGCTTGTGATGACTCCCAAATGCCCTCAACCACCTTCATCCAGCATGGGGGAATGTGCCCAAACAATAAAAGAGAGAAAAGAAGGACATATATTTCTCCCACACGTACGCTGGCAAAATAAGTGGGTAAGGGGAATGAGTGACTGTTAGTTAGCAAGTCATTTGCAGTTGTAACTCTCCTCACTCACTGCCATATTTCCACTGGATTTACTGTTATTATTAGTATTTAATGATCGAATAGTGTTTAATAGGCATTGTAGCAAGGTTAGCTCATCAGTGTAACCACCAGGCTACTGGGCCAAGCTGTGAGGTGTTATGGTTTTTTCAACTCGTATTTTTGGGTAGATTTACAGTACGTAACTTTCTTCATTTATTTTTACTCAGTTACATGCACACACCATCCTACATACATATTGTGAAAAAAGTACAGCATTACACCACAATCACCGACAACCTTCATGTTGGGTTGGCTAGATTGCTACGAAAGAAATTCTGTAAGTTTGATATACGTATTAACCCAGTTGGCCTTCAGATGCCATTTGTTCTAGATACAGTAATTTTTACGAGGATAAAATTACCGTATGGCAACCAAACCAACCCAACTTTAATAACAAAGCATGGAGTTGACTTGAGAGTACTCTCGCATTTTTTCTACATTTCGATACATTTTCTTGTCTTGTTTCTGGTTATTTGTGAGAGGATTTTCCATTATTATTTTTGTGTGTGTGTGTGTGTGTGTGTGTGTGTGTGTGTGTGTGTGTGTGTGTGTGTGTGTGGCTACACACACACATATACAGTACAGGTTAAAGAAATAATTGTCATCAGGGCAAACACAAAAGGAATATACATTTGTTTGCATACGAGTAAAAAGTAAACCCCTCCCCCCCCTCCCCGTCAGCAAATGATATTCGCGGTTTTGGGAATTCATTGCCATTTTGAGACCCAAACCCACACAAATTTTTAAGGGCAAGCTGTATTCAACAATTTCCGGAGTTTTTTGTTCAATTATTTGTTCGTTTTCTGTTCAGATTTTGTACCCTATTCGGATCGTTCCAAATAATTTTGTTCAATATTCCAACTAAGTAATATCTCCGTTAGCCAGAATCCCTCAAATTCGGGGTTTGGGAACAAATTCCGAAGTTGAAAATCAAGAGCATTTTCTAAAAATTACAAAAATAAATAAAAAATCAGGAAAATCTGTCAAAATTTTTATTTTCGGGTCTGAGAGCAAATACTGATTATGAAATAATGTGCAATTTCCGAAAAACCTATGAAAATTGCGAGAAAATCACTCCAAACCTTTCTGCTCAGGGCCTGGGGACAAAGGTTCCCAGAGTTATGAAAGACTGCACCATGCTTAGCCATATCCTCACATGGTTGGTGCGTGGGAGGTAAGACCAACCACTTGGGTAATGCTGGATTTTTCTGCTCTGGGTCTATTTATAATTACAGTACAGTAAGCCCTTGTTTAATGTTGGCCCCAATAAAGCTGTTTCGTTATAACGTCGCTATTCTTTAGATACCCAAGATTCGGATAACGTCCCGCTAATTCAGTATAACGTCGTCACGGACTACTTTGTACGGTGCATCACCCTCTCTCATCTTCGCGCGGTACGCTCTCACCTGCGGAGCGTTACAACGTCCCCAAGTATCGCCAGTCTTTGTTAAGCTACCACAGCGTTCGTGTGTGTTTAAGTGTTTTTGCTCTTAATACTGTACTCTAACCATTCAAAATGACTTCCAAACGCCCATCAAGTGCTACTGATGCTAGTGTTGTGAAGAAGCAATGTAAGACCATTAGCCTGGCTTCGAAAATGGAAGTTTTAAACCGGGAGGAGGAGCCACCCGACGGGTCTCGGTGACTCGCCACCCTCCTCCTCTCCCGCCCTCCACCTCTCCACTACCTACCACACACTCGCTTCACCTCCGTCCATCAGTGAGTACAATATAAAATTATTTAGTTTATTTATATATACTGTACACTATTTTCTATAAAAATGTCATTGATTTTCTGTATACAGTGGTCCCTCGGTTAACGAGCACAATCCGTTCCAGCAGGTTGCTCGTTAACCAAAAAACTCGTTAACCGAAACCATTGTTTCAATGGGTTTTTGGGTAATTGGTTCCAGCTCACCAAAAATTGCCTAAATTCAACAAAAAAGGCAGAAAAGCACACTTACTTTGAGGTGTGTATGTAGAAGGCTCCTGGATGATGATGATGATGATGATGGGAATTATAATGGGGGTGGAGGAGAAGGGAGAAGAGAAAGCATTGGGGTGGAAGAGAAGTCACCCCATGGTGCTATTTCACCCATAAAATTTTAGTTCTCTTGGTGTAATTCAAGATTATTTTCTTTAAATCAACACTGCACTGCATTATATATTGTCAATAAGTAAAATAAATTTCAAAATGACCAATAATTTGCTTGGAAACAGAAAAAATCATTTAGTTGAAGAGAGTCTCAAGCAAAATGTTACCTCCACTGAAAAGAGAGAGAGAGACTATCGCCTGTTTGTGTGTTAACAGGCTGGATGGCGCGCCAGAAACTAGTTTCCTTACCTTCAATTATGTTCAATAATTGTTAAAATGACTAAAATATTTCATATTAATCTTTTAAAATTATTGAATAGTATAAACTTCTTGATATTTACTAAAATAGTAAGGAATTTAAGCCCTAGAACCGATTACTGTATTGGCGGACTAATACTACAGCTGGTGGACCGCCAAATGCAAGCGAAAACATGTTGAGGTCAGCTTGTAAAAAACTCGTTAATCGAGGGATTGCTCGTTAACCGAAGTTAAGAATCTTATGGAAGGTAAATCGTTAACCGAGGAACTTGTTAACCGAGGGATCACTGTATGTAATGTATTTTATGGGGCAAAGGGAGGCTGGGGAATGTAACTCCTGTATTTTATCTACTGTATTTCTTATGGGGAAAATTTATTCCATTAACGTCGCAGTTTTCAGGAACGGAACCACGACGTTAAGCGAGGACTTACTGTACTGTACAAATATAAATATTTCTTTAAATTGAGAGCATTTTCTGAAAATGTCTTGAATAAAGACGTAAGCTAAAGTATTTTTTTTTGGGGTGGGGGAGGGTACTTGACCTGACCTGACTCAATGTCAGGTGGAGGTAGGGCGGGGTATTAGTGGTCTCATATTACTAACCTTCTGATGGAATGTCAGGTCACCCTTTCTTGGCCAGGGGATTAGTGGGTCTTATGACCTGAAGATGTCTTGAATAAACACGAAACCTAAAGCATCTTGAGGGAGATTGTGATAAGTATAAATGAGCAAAGTTGTATCCCTTCAACATTATGCTACATAACATTTTTAAAATATGGAGTGAGAAAGAAGAAAGGTGTTGGTGATTAGAGAGATGGAGTGGAAAGGAGTGGTAACATGCACCAGTGTTGCCAAGTGACAAGCTCCTGAACAGCTGATCTTTCAATTCGCCTCCACTCAGTCACACAACAAGACTCTCTCTCTCTCTCTCTCTCTCTCTCTCTCTCTCTCTCTCTCTCTCTCTCTCTGTGTAATAATAATAATAATAATAATAATAATAATAATAATAATAATAATAATAATAATAATAATAATAATAATAATAATAAACGGTTTATTAATAGAGTTGCAGCCGGTGGCTGAAAATATACAGACTTACATTTGATTTAGACATAATGATATGTGTGTGTGTGTGTGTGTGTGTGTTGAGCTTGCCAAGCACATTGTAGGATTTGAAGACGATGATGAAGAGTTTGTTCAGGAGTCAGATGGTGAGGTGACATGCCAAGACACTTACACAGCACACACACATTAACAACACTACTAAACCATTGTCTTATAACATTTTACATTATAATTTTAAAATTAACTGATAGATGATGGCTCGACTTGGCTACCTTTGCACTT